GCAAGATTTGGAACGAGATGATCGATCACATTATATTTGCATCATTTACCCATCAGACACCTTCTTCCCTTCCAAATTGAATTCGTGCAACATTTTTTGTCAATTTTTTTCCACAATCTAAAGACAATAAAATCACACACAGACACACAGTTACTGGTTAAGAGCTATCGGTGCCTAGATACTGAGCCACCACACCACTACATTTAAGGGTATTTCAGCCGAGGACAATTTTTTTTTTTATCATGGACAAAAATACAAAGAACGAACTATTTGCCATTAATGTACTCCTTTAAACTCCACAGTGACAATAATCCATGTACTACGACACTTTCCTTTAACTGTAATATTTCCCTTCTAAGATAGAGTATACGTGACTGTAGCATAAACCTTACTTTACTGACTGCCTCTCTACCATTACTAACACTTCCTTGTGAGTCTCTGTCCTCCCACATACAGTACCTTAATCTCCCTCATCCTGAAGCAGTGTCCTCCTCTCTAGTCCTCACTGGCGTTCTTACTACTATCGTGTTTGTCTTTCAGTTTCATGTATTAATTTTGACTTATACTGAAGGCATTACTGTTTACTTATATAGAAGGCATTAATGTTTATACTTACTGTATATTGAAGGCATCACAGTTTACTTACATAGAAGGCATTACTCTTTACTTACATAGAAGGCATTACTCTTTACTTATATAGAAGGAATTACTGTTTATTTATATAGAAGGCATTACTGTTTACTTATATGGAAGGCATTACTGTTTACCTACTGTATATAGAAGGCATTACTGTTTACCTATATAGAAGGCATTACTCTTTACTTACATAGAAGGCATTACTCTTTACTTATATAGCAGGCATTACTATTTATTTATATAGAAGGCATTACTCTTCAGTTATATAAAAGGCACTATTCTTTACTTATATAAAAGGCATTACTATTTATACTTATACAGCAGGTACTCCATGTTCCATATTTAAGCTGTCTAGATGGAATATTTTTACCACACGATAAATGTATTCGCAAATGTCATAAAATATATACATACATGGAATGGGTTGGTGTGTGTACATCGGACGAACAACAATAAAAATAATGAAAACATCAATTTCTAACATAGAACTGAGGATGAACATGGACTGAATGGTATTTTTCTATGTCTCAACTATCAGCTTCCATCAACGTAAAATGCTACTTTTTTTCCTTGTCAGTTTTAAAGTGTATGTGCTGTTTGTTCATCGATGTAGCGGGGAATGTTTTAATGTTGTAACAGTTATTAAAGTAACAATTGCCTTACATGTGATTAACGGCAGCAGTGTGGCGAAAACGAATAATGGCAACAATTGCCTTACATGTGATTAACGGCAGCAGAGGGGCGAAAACGAACAATAATATGAAGTTATGACATGCTTCAGGGAATTAAATATTTATATAGTGGATTTCGGATGAAATCCCCGCGTACAGTCACTAAAAAAATATCTATACAAAATTGTGCTGAAAAAGTGACACCGTACGAAGAATTTTGACAACCCCACAGAGACAACAAGAGTCACAGCGTTCATTCTGAAATTCATCGCCCCCCCCCCCCGCAAGAAGAGATAGTTTTTTGAGTGTACATTTTGACCACTCATCTCTGGCAGTGTTGGCCATAAATCAGAGACAAATAACGGCGTCACGTTGTAGCGCTACGAATATAAATACACAGAACAGCTTTAAATCTCTTAATTAGTTATAACCATTTGTCAAAATTAAATACGTTAATACCGGTGTGTCGGTTAAAGGTGGAGGTACAGACGTTGAGTTGCCTCTGACAACACCTGGGCAGTAAACAAAGTCGTCCAGTCACCCGCCTCACTGCTGTGAAGAATATGCTGAATAAATGTTGCATTTCTGCTGTCAACACACCGTGATCGTCAGGTGCCCGCTGGGTCGTTCTCTCTGAAAATTTCCTCACTAGAACAAGAGAGGAATCTACTTCAAGTGACAAACTATGCTGACACACAGACAACACGGGGCCGTATATCTACCGCGTGTCATCTGAGCTGAATCATCTGGTGATGTTTATATCAACCATTCATGTACAACACTTAGACCAGTGACGGGACATTACATTGAAAACTACCAAACGATATGAATTTACACACCTCTTATCTTAAAAAAAAAATGCTCTACGGTTGTTGAAATCACGGGTGGGTGTGTCTCGCGCATCTGTGGCTGTCTGTCATGACTACATAGCCCGTGTGAGTGACAAACAAATGACGTAATGTACCAGTCATGTCCTATTGCTCAGAAACAAGTGAGAGCCTTGGCACTGATCAATCACACCTGCGACCACCATCACCAAGGAAACTCAGCAACTGAAAGCGATCCGTAGGGATGCGTCGAGAATGTGAAGGCCAAGTAATGCTTTATCTGTCACACTACGTGGCTCTACAACAGTGTGGGTGCATCGCCCTCCCTCCCTTGGTGACTCTCATATTTCAACACTGAGTAATCAATAACATACACCTCAGTGAACATATTATCCATCTACCAGTATTGTCAGTATAACCGCCCCACTCCCAACACCTGCACAGTTTATTCTCTTGGGCGCTTTCAACACAACGCTACATAACAAAAAACCGTATCTCACATAACCTGGCTCGCTCACTAACTTACTAACTAACCGTTTAACCAACCTATCGACAGCCCACTACCCATTTTAAACTTTTTTTTATTATTCTGGGAGAGGCTTCACCGACCAGGGCTGCATCACTACCAACCTTTTCAAACTAATGGAACAGCAAGACCGACCGGGTGCACGAAAAAGGCTTCCGGCTACATCGCCTCACACCTTGGATAGTGAAATAGTCTACCGTCACAAGTAGTTTTATGACTGGAGGTAGAATACTGCCCCCCCCCCCCTTCCCGGGTATATTAGTGAGTCTTATGCTGTATAATACTCTACTAGAATCTATTATTTCACAATGATAATAATAAATAATAATAATAGTGAAAATTATAATATAAATAATAATAATAATAATAATAATGAAAATGATAATATAAATCATAATAATATTATTAATAATAATAATAATAATAATAATAATAATAATAATAATAATAATAATAATAATAATAATACCAACAATAGTAACACCAGTACAACAACAACATTAAAATACACAATGACAACAAAAACAACAATAAAGAGTTATATTAAAAAAGTGGACAATGATATAACACTGAGAGGTAAAACAACACATGATATGAACAGTTTTCTTTACTCTGGGAAATTGAATAGTATTTAATATTTGTGGACAAACACAGTCATGTTTTGTTACCAGAGAGTGAGCACATACATCCCCTCGTGGTCACTCCTGAAATTTGTGTTTATTTATTTATTTACTATTTTTTTTATTAAATGCAAAATTTTGAATATTTAAAGGCCATGAGAGCGAAATTCTGAATGGAAGGGTTAAATTTATCCTGTAGTGGTGGTGAGTGGTGGTGGTGGTGAGTGGTGGTGAGTGGTGGTGGTGGTGAGTGGTGGTAGTGGTAATGATGATGAAATGCTGATAATGGTGATGGTGACGATAATGATTGTAACGATGATTGATGGTGGTATTGGTGGCGATGATGGTTGTTGTGATGATGAAATGATGATAATAGTGATGATAATGATGATGGTGATGGCAACGATGATAATGATGATGATGATGATAATGATGATGATGATCACGCTGCCATGAAGGAGGACGTGAGAGGAGACACACACGTAGAGCTGCTCCTCCACCCCTTCCCCTTCCTCTATAACCCGGACCACGTATGTCAGTCCCTAATAGTGTGTGCGCGTGTGTGCGTGTGTGTGTGCATCAAGGATAGGATTCAACAGTCATCAAAGGACTCACCGATAGACCACAAGATGTCATCATAAGACAAGATGGTCTATCACAAGCAAGTGTGTGTGTGTGTGTGGTGTGTGTGGAGAGGTGGTGGGTGGTGAGGTGGGTGGGTGGGATGGTGAGGGTGGGTGGGTGGGATGGTGTGGGTGGGTGGGGTGGTGTGGGTGATGAGGTAGTTGCAGAAGACACAAGGAATGAATGCTACTAATGGGAGATATTTGTTACTTTGTCCACCGTCAGCAGAAGGGAAACGGGATAAAAGAAAAATAAATAGCAATAGCAATAATTTCAATGAACTCTTAATTTTTACGTAAACTTAAAGTGATGAAAACCACCTACAACAAGTTACGTATATCAAACGAATTAACTACAGATGGGCATTATCAATACGAACTCGGCTAACCTAACCTGAAGTTGGTTAAGTTCAGTAAGGTGATAACAGTAAGGGACGCCTTACATAAAGTCTACCACAACCACTAATTTCCGTCGTTATAACAAAAATATTATCGCTATTTGGCAAGAAAACATTGTGGATTAAGCCTTAATTGGCCGATTAACTCTCAATCGTGATTTTATATATATATATATATATATATATATATATATATATTATAAAACGTAATAAGTTTTAGCGCACCACAAGCAACGTCGTAACACCAAAGCTAACGCAAGACGCGGTCGAAGTTTCTAATAAATTGCTATTGGTGATTCACTCTGGTGGGATTGAATAAATCCTTGTCAAGTATAATGGACGACACATTCGGATCCCGACAATTAGAACGTTTAGCGCGGGCAATTTGTAAGGTCTATTGCTATCCCAAGTGATTCTTGTACACCGCGCCATCGATCTCCCCAAGCTACCGTTCATCTCACTCTCTGGTCGTATTATCTTATTGATTGCTGCCTCGTGGAGAAAAAATCAATAATACGTAACTCGTCTGCCAAGGCCGGCCAATGACTCCTCGCTGTGGTATTCATTGAGCCCCATTAAAACGTATCGTGCGCCAGGCAGCGAGACCAAGGACGCTAGGGTACGATAACTTCTCTCTGGGTGCGTGCGTGAGGTCTCAATTTCCCCCTCACGTCAGTTTCCCTCCAGCTTTTTCAAAGTTTGGTTCTAGCACTTCCGGAAGCTACATTACGTTATGGACTATTGTGCTCCGAGGGACGTACACAAAACTTTATAAAATAAGATTGTTCTGTAGTGCTCGACTTAAAATAATTTCTACATAAGTAATTTAATGATTCCATGATGCATTAACTTTTAATAATTTTTTTCTGAAAGACAAACTTTATGCATTCGAGTTTTATTAGATAAAGAACATCAGCAAAGATGAAAAATACGTAAACAACATAAGAGAGGAAGAAAAATAATCAGTAATGCAAATATACAAGTTGAAGAAGCATGAGAAGAAAAGTTATTAGAGTGTGAAGTATGAAAGAGGCATAAAACTGGTTACATTATACTGGCAGGAAACACGCGCAGTTATTTTATAGACTAGTTGAATATTAAGCAGCTGGAGGCGCCTGCACTGTTATTGCCACCATCAAGATGCAACATGCGATGCAAGGAGGAAATAGACTGTCGGGAATTTAGTTCAGATGCCTCCGCGTTGAGAACTTAATACAGAAAGAAATAATAAATCTAAAGGAGATTGATTGACCTGTAAATGATCGAGGCTGCGTAAACCCACACTCCAGGAGGATCGTAAACCACTGGGGATACAACTTAAACGCTCATAAAAACATTAAATAGCCAGAGGCGATACTTACAAAACCCATAAAAGTAAATTGAAACAACTTAACTCAACATTAAATGGTTGGAAGAGACAGTAAAGATTCTCGTCAATCCATAAATCAATACAAAAGGGAAAAGTTTTGTATGTGCCATCACCCTGGGGAGGAGTGGACAGTGACGGCTGGCTGACACACACACACACACTCACTCACCCTCGCAGACAGCATCCCACGAGACAATCACGACAGACAGCAGCGAGACAACACGCAGCTGGAACCCTCCTCGCCTACTGTCTCTGAATGGACGTCGTTAGTGTCACGAGGCTCTGACGGACAACGATAAGCAACGATAAGCAACGACGACAGAGGGAGCGACGACCAGACTCCGAAACGACGGAAGATTAAACCCGGTGACCCCCTCAGTCAACGACGCCGGCCGCTGCGACACGTCAACACCGAGAAACACGACGCGATCGACGGAATCCACGACAGCGGGAAGGAAGCAGCGGTGAAACTAACATCCAGACGGAAACCCCCCGCCACGACAGACAGCAGCCAAACTGACCTGTCGATTAGAAAGGACATAAGAGACAGATAGAGAGAAATAAGATAGACAGACAGAGAAAACGAGAGAGAGGCGGTACTGCGGTATTTATGTGTTCTGGCGATAGAGTGGAGCGTGATGTTGTGATGCCGAGAGGGAGACACGAGGCTGGCCGACAGGAGAGGGCAATGGGTGAGTATGGTTGGGAGAGCCGTGTACAAGGGCTGGAAATTGGGTTATGGTGGAGGTTAGGGGAGTGTGTGTGCGTGTGTGTGTGTGTGTGTGTCCTTCCTTTCAAATATATATAATAAACACACGCACACAGTTGGAGACGCGTACACTCATGCATGTACGGATTTAAACACTATACATACATACATACATACTCGTACATTGTGTATGTGTACATATATATATATATATATATATATATATATATATATATATATATATATATATATATATATATATATATATATATATATATATATATTTCCACTATTTCCAGACATTAACTCATACATACATATATTTAAAAACAATCACATACACATTACACATGCAAACATTAACGCACATATTTACATACAGACACAATTACATACATACAGACATTAACACACACAGACAGACATTAACACACACAGACATTAATATACATACAGACTTAATTACATACACAATAGCTTTCTCTTTACATTTTCCTTTGAATAAACTTCAAGGTACAGGAAATTAAATATTTCTCAGCACCTTCACGCACACGCAACACCTTCATAAGTATACATGAATATAAACATGTGGACTTATGAATGTATACATAAGACATATACACAAGGTGTCGCCCTAGAGCCTTGGCCACGGCGTCCTTCCGAACCCCTGTAGCCATTGTCAATCAGAAGTAATAAAAAGTAAATAAAACAAAAAATACAGAAAATACTACAATGGTGTATTACCCCAGAGTATTTTGGTATGGTCGGTGAGGCTGTGTTGAATATAACCCCCCTCTCTCCCTGTCCCCTCCCCGTACCGTCAAATTATGGAAGACCTCATTCTAAATTCACTGGCAACGAAGATGGACCAAATATTACTATACCGTGGGTAGTGAGCAAACAGGTAGAGGAGGAGGGAAAGACCAAATAGAAAACTAGAGCGATAAAAATTAAGGGGTTACTTTTTGAAAATAATACCCGAGTGGTACTTTTGCTTAATGACGAGGTGATGGACACAAGAGTATTGTAAGGTACATTTTTGTATAGTATAATGTTTATATGTTTTGTTGCTGTATAAAAAGCTACAAATTTGTGACGTGTGAGTGTCCTGAAAATAATGTAAATGATGTGACTGAGAAGTGTTGTTTTGTTAGAGTGGTAATGGTGTGTGTGTGTGTGGGGGGGGAGGGGGTCTGGCTGGGCATGGGTGAGGAAGAGAAAAACACTGGGATGGTAATTGAACAATGGGGTCAGGACCAACTACACGCAGGAGGTCCTAGGAGGAAGATGTATGTGAGAGTAGTGCACAGTGGGGGAACACACACACACACACACACACACACACACACACACACACACACACACACACACACACACACACACAACACACACACACACCATGTTTCTCACGCTGTCAATTTGTTAAACCCGTTCATTCTAAGTGTAGGATTTACTGGATATAACTAAAGGTTAATTGTATTATGACCCCGTGGTTGATGAGTTGACTGTTATGACAAGACTCAACGATATATTTTTTTTTTTTTTAGGAGGGAGGAATACCTCGTGATGGAGGCAACTTGGGAGGTAAATAAAGAGAGAGAGAGAGAGAGAGAGAGAGAGAGAGAGAGAGAGAGAGAGAGAAAGAGAGAGAGAGAGGAAACGACCCGGGAGTGAAATGAAAAAGACAATAACCTATTATCTTTCGTCTGGTGAATTGCTTATGGATATTACACACCACTCTTTGTTGTTCTTTATGCCAACGACAAATTGGATGATACCTATGCATGATGGCTCGGATGAACGAGGCTTGGAGGTATGTTACGGGTTGACAACAACATGAAACACAGGCTGGCAGGGAGGGAGGGGGAGAGCCCAAAACATGGACCGATAAACAAGATAATGAGATTACCTGGAGGCTTGCACACAGGTGAAGGGGGGGGGGGTGGGGTGGAGGGGAGGTCATAGACGAACACATAACAATAACTTGGAACAATGAGACGCAAAATGTTGAACAGGTGAGAGTCTATGAGGTGAGGAGGAGAGAGAGGGAGGGAGAGAAGAGGGGAGGAGGAGAGAAGAGAAGAGGAGGAGAGAAGAGGAGGGGAGAGAAGAGAAGAGGGAGGAGAGAAGAAGGGAGGAGAGAAGAGAAGAGGGAGGGGAGAGAGAAGAGGGAGGGAAGAGAGAAGAGGTAAGGAGGAAAAAATTGTCTGTATGGTAGAACATTAAATACTAGAAAATGGGAACCTAAAGCAGATAGTTTATGAGAGGAAAAGTGTGGGATGATAAGAGGAACAGTGGGATGATAAGAGGAACAGTGTGGATGATAAGAGAACAGTGTGTGGGATGATAAGAGGAACAGGTGGGGATGAAAGAGGAATGTGGGGATGAAAGAGAATGTGTGGGATGATAAGAGGAACAGTGTGGGATGAAAGAGAACAGTGGATGATAAAAGGAACAGTGTGTGGGATGATAAGAGGAACAGTGTGTGGGATGATAAGAGAACAGTGTGTGTAGGATGATAGAGGAACAGGGATGATAAGAGAACAGGTGTGGAGAAGAACAGTGGGAGAAAGAAAGGGATGATAAGAGGAACAGTGTGGGATGATAAGAGAACAGTGTGTGTGGGATGATAAGAGAACAGTGTGTGGGATGATAGAGAACAGGTGTGTGGGATGATAAGAGGAACAGTGTGTGTGGGATGATAAGAGGAACAGTGTGTGGGATGATAAGAGAACAGTGTGTGTAGGGATGATAAGAGGAATGAGGGATGATAAGAGGAACAGTGTGTGGGATGATAAGAGGAACAGTGTGTGGGATGATAAGAGGAACAGTGTGTGGGATGATAAGAGGAACAGGTGTGGGATGAAGAGGAACAGTGTGTGTGGGATGATAAGAGGAACAGGTGGGATGATAAGAGAAACAGTGTGTGTGGGATGATAAGAGGAAAGTGTGGGATGATAGAAGAACAGTGTGTGGGATGATAAGAGGAACAGGTGTGTGGGATGATAAGAGGAACAGTGTGGGGATGATAAGAGGAACAGGTGTGTGGGATGATAAGAGGAACAGTGTGTGGGATGATAAGGAAGAGTGTGTGGATGATAAGAGAACAGTGTGTGGGATGATAAGAGGAACATGTGTGTGGGATGATAAGAGGAACAGTGTGTGGGATGATAAGAGGAAATAAGTGTGGGATGACAAGAGGAACAGTGTGTGGGATGATAAGAGAACAGTGTGTGGGATGATAAGAGGAACAGGGATGATAAGAGGAACAGTGGATGATAAGAGAACAGGTGGGGAGATGATAAGGAGAACAGTGTGGGGATGATAGACAGTGTGTGGAGATAAGAGGAAGAACAGGGTGTGGGATGATAAGAGGAACAGTGTGTGGGATGATAAGAGGAACAGTGTGAAGGACATGAAGAAACAACACTAGAAGTAATAAAAAGTAGTAGGAAGACAAATGCATTAACAAAAGTATATAACCTGACAAAGGGGGTGGAGGGGGAGGGGAGGTAGGGAGGGGAGGACAGGGGGGAGGGGGAGGATGGGAGGAGGGAGGAGGTACGGGGGAGAGGATAGGGGAGGAGGGGAGGATAGGTGGGGGAAGGAGGGAAGGTAAAGGAGAAACATAGAAAGGGAAAATGAAGGAAATATGAACCTGAAAGGAAAGAAGGAGAGGAAATGCAGAAAGGATGGAGAGGAAGGAATGAAAGAAGGAATAAGAAATGAAGGAAGGCAGGGGAGGAAAGGAAAGGGAAGAAGGGGGAAGGAAATGAAAGAAGGAAGGTGAGGAAAGGAAGGAAGGAATACACATTAAAAAAAAATAAGATAAAAGGGTGGATGAAGGAGATGGGATAAAAGTTGGTTACATAAACAGATGAAAATAATAAGAGACGAGATGATAAACAATGGAGGGAAGAGGAGGAGGAGGAGAGAAAGTGACAAAAGAAAACTTAGAGACGTAGATGAAAGTAAGTGAAATTAAAACAAGGAAAGAAAGAGGATTGACGCAAAGACAAGACAAGGCGGGGAAGACAATGGAAGGCAAGACAAAGGGGGAAGACAAGACGGGAAGACAGGAAACAAGGCAAGACAAGAGTAAGACAAGGCAGGAAGACAAGACGGGGAAGACGAGGCGGGAAGACAAGGGGGAAGACAAGACGGGGAAGACAAGACGGGGAAGACAAGATGGGGAAGAAGACGGGGAAGCCAAGTGGGGAAGCAGAAGGCGGGAAGACAAGACGGGGAAGACAAGGTGGGAAGACAAGAAGGGGAAGACAAGGCGGGAAGACGAGAAGGCAAGACAAGGTGGGGAAGACAAGATGGAAGACAAGATGGGAAGACAAGACGGTAAGACAAGATGGGAAGAAAGACGGAAGACAAAGAAGCAAAGACAAGGCGGGAAATAAAAACATAAACAAAAGACAGGGGAGAACAAAGAGGGGAAGACAAGGTGGGGGAAGACGAGGCGGGGAAGACAAGGCGGGGAAGACAAGACGGGGAAGACAAGGCGAGGAAGACGAGGTGGAAGACGAGGTGGGAAGACAAGAAGGGGAAGACAAGACGGGAAGATACAGGAAGACGAGGCGGGGAAGACAAGGCGAGGAAGATCAGAGGCGAGGAAGAAAAGGAGGAAGACAAGGCGAGGAAGACAAGGAGGGGAAGACAAGAAGTGGGGAAGAAGGAGGGGAAGACAAGGCGGGGAAGACAAGGGGAAGACAAGGAGGGCAAGATACATAAAGTAGATGAAAAAGCAAGAGAAGGCGAGGGAAGAGAAGGCAGGGAAGAACAAGGAGGAAACAAGAGAGAAGACAAGGAGGGCAAGACAAGGGGAAGATGAGGAGGGAAGACAAGGTGAGGAAGACAAGTGGGGAAGACTAAGTGGAAAATAAGAAAGACATGGAACAGGGACAATTGAAGAAATTAAGTAAATTTCATGAATATGAGACGGGAAGCAGAGGAAAATATGAAGAAATGAGAGAA